GAGTGAAAAACAAAAATTTTATTTCTTTATCAAATGTACCCGGCAATCGCTTTTCAGACACTGACAACTTTGTCCTGCAAAAGTTTCGATTTAAACGACGAAAATAGGAGCAATAAGTAAGGTAAACAGCGCTTTATCACAAGTGTTGCAAGCAAATTTGCTGATTAATCTAAGATACATTCTTCACCGTTATCTTCCTCTTTGCTTCATTTTTTGCTCGTAATTCGTTCTAATTCCTCTTTTTATTTTTGTTTTTAAATAACATTTTTCTTATTGCTAAAGCATTTTTGTCAAGCAGATATACTGTGATTTCTAACATTTTGTTATACTCAAAATTTATAGCTGCTGCCAGTAGTTTATTTTTATTATTGATTGCAACAGTTATTATTTCAATGCAATAAATTTAGTTTATTCTATAACAAATGGTTATATACAAATAAATGACGCAACAAAATGGTTTATTTTTCTTTCATTGAATTTGGCATAAGTTTTTAAGCAAGAATTTGGCTAAATAATAAAATATTTCAATCTCTAAACACTGTATGGAAGCAGTCAGATTGACGATTGCGTGAATCAATCTCTCTGGTTTACCAGCTGAACTGCAAGAAAAGCAAGAATAAACACTCTAAAATCGCTCAACAGAACAAGACTTTTCTGTTTAACGTTCTCCAAGACTGGTGTTGTCTTCCCCCAAAAAATCATGGCTTTTTTCATAGTCAAAACAACTGTATTTTTTTAAAACTCTTCTCTACCGTAGTCGTAGTCTGTCATCAAAGAAAATTTTCTTAAAGTGCAACTGCAGCAAATTCCAAAACTTCAAAACTGTCGTTATACTTAATTTTGCATTACTAAATTAAAATCCATATTAAGAACTTTAGCAAATAACAGTCGAAAGTTTCATTGAAATGTTCAGAATCATTTACCAAAACTCTCAAAATTTCTTTCATAAACTTAAATCATGCTCACCTTACTAGAAGACGAATATGGTTAACTGAAACTAAAAAACTTATAAGAACCAAATAACTGTAATTAAACAAAAGTCTTAAGTTATCACTTTTATTTACTTGAAAAGAGAATCCTGAAGCATAACGAACAAAAGTACAAAAAAATATTGTTAGAGCACCGCGCAGCAGCCTCCGAATCTGGTGATCAGTGATGACCTCGACGAAACGATTGATTTGGTTCGGTGAACTATTTGCAATCTATCATTGGAATCAGTCAAATTAACACTTAATTTATCGTCTGTTGATGTGCGAATTTTAGTTGTCTTTATGAAGCTTTTTTCATTCGAATTAATTTAAGGAGGAATGCACTCAGTGTTTATAAGTCACTGCTTAATTTTTTTGTGCTTTAGAGCGTTTGGTTTTAGTGTGTAAATTATTTGAAAGTAAAAACAGTCACCCAACTAGAAACAATTTTTTAGTAATGCTAGTAATTGATTTAGTTGTACTAAAAAACTTTATAAAAGGTTAAATTGCTGTGTTAGTTAATTACAAAAAAATAGTTTAAGCTATATTCGTGTTTAAAAAAGCCTTTTCGTAGAAATCGTGACCCACAACTGTTGTATTTTTTGTTTTGTTGCTGTTATATTACTGTTAACTATTGTTTTAGAAGTCGCTGTTTAGGTTTAGGTGCAGTTATTTTTTAAAATTTTGTTTTTTATAGAATATGATTTGACGTAACCTCAGCTGTTTTGGTTTTCGAGACAAATTGGCGACAATGAAGAGCAAACTGTTTTTCGGCTACTGGCGTCACGCTGAGAGATTTCCAATGAGCGTCTCATTATCACTTTTGGCGATTCATAAACCGCCCTTTCATAATCGACAAGTATTACGCATATTAACATCTACTTCAATAGTCTTTATCTTTTTAACATCAGTTTAAATCTGGTACCGAAGAAAAAAATTGAACTCTATGAAACAGTAATCACTGTAGCAAGAAAAAAAAAAAAAAAACAATAATAAGAAAAAAAAAGTTGCGCATTTGCAGAACAATAAAGAAAAATATGTCGGCACCAACAATCGCACTTTTTGACGAAATCAAGGAAAGAAAGAGGAAGAAAACAAAGTCTAAAATAACACAAAAAAAGAGAAGTCTTAACAAAACAGCTTTCACAGTAATCAAACAATACAACAAGTGTTACCACATGCCGTTTTCTCTCTTAGACTGTTGTCAACTGCTCATTCCGCTACAAGTTCACTATTCAACTACATGAAGAAAAACTGATCGCACTAATTTTTGGTTGAAACAGCAACGAGATAGAATATAAAGTTTTCAAAACGCTATTGGTAAAATCGTTGAATAAACTTATTTTCAATACTGGATTCTTCTCTACAGTTGTTTCATCCTAAATATTTGCCGCATCTTTAATAAAGCTTATAAAAATTTCTCACGACAATGTCTCTTTGAGCAATTTGATTATTAGCGCTGCCGTTTCCAAATCAGTCCCGCATTTTTCTTACCATCCGTTTTTCAAATTTTTATTTTCAATTATCTTTTAGGCTGTGTGTATTGTTGGCTGATGAATACCGACAGTAAATGGCATTTCAATAAATTGTTCCGCGTTATATTTTCAAATATTTCCACATTATTTTCACAACAAAAGTTTTATAAAGTAAACAATTTTCAAAAAAGTGACAAAAAAAATCTTTTTTTGAAGTTTTACTAGTTATGTACTAAGAGTTACGCTGTAAAGGATGTAGAATAAACACGATACTGAAAAGTTATTAATGTCATCTTCGTTTACCTCAAACATTTTAGCCATTTCTAGTCATCAGTTTATAGGCCGTACCGCAGTTCTAAATCTAAGCACCTGCTTTTCTGAATCAAATTTCAGAACGTAACGAAAACAATTAGAACAAGATTTTGAAACAATTTTTATAGTGCCAACAATAATGGCAATTAGAGGTGATAAATATATAATTGCAGTTTGCTCGCTTGCCTTGCTCCGGAAGAGAATGCTCCACCATAGATGTACTTTTAGAAGTAAAATATCTTAAACTATTCTTGGCGATTTAAGCTACCAGTTGAGTATACATTGCAGCTTAACATAAGCAAAACTTTTTCTTTTATTTTTTTTTATTATTGCTGTTGTTATTAACATAATTATTATTATACAATATATTAAAATCAAATAACAAACTATTAAAAGCGGCAAGATTAAAAAACAAAAAAATTAAATTGTAAAAACAATGAAATTGCAAGGTTAGTGAGCACAGCTTAGCGGTACCGTAAACTTTTACGCGTTCGCGAAATTTCAATCATTATTATTTTAATTAAGTGTCAGTACATTTACTCACAGCTACTAATAACATGCAAAAGAGATATGAAATATATTATAACCTGAAGTGCGCAAGTAAACCAAGCTACTGCCCAGTTATGATTTTGTAGCTATAATTGGCATTTGAACTTAATTGGAGAGGTACTTACTGTTACTTGTCAGCAGAAGAAAAAAAGTATGAAGTTTAACAAAAGAACCATCTATGAATTTTTTTCAGTTTTTCTTTTGTTTTCCCTACTGTTCTTTCAGTTAAGTAAGTGCTTTGAGTCGTTGCTATATTTACAAATAGCCGTACCACTGAGAGTTATTGCTCACTTTAGTCATCCCTTTCTAAGCTAAACCAAAAATTATCTTTTTAAGCGTATACTTTCGATTCCGCTCTAAAATTTTGTTTAGTTTTCCGATTAAAAAAATCAGTCTTTTAGATAGAATGCAAAAGACGATCAAGCATAGTCTGTGACTTATCGTATATCAAGAATAACTTTATTGTTTTCAAAATTCTACCACTTATCGACAAAAGTGCTCAAAATATCAGATAACTATTAGTTTTTGGTTTTTTGACAAAGAGTGTTTTTTAAGTTTTATTTAAAAAAGTTACTGAGCAACTACAGAGACTAAAGTTTTAAATTATAACTGAAATTGAAAAGCTTACGGAAATCTGTGGGTTTTTTATGCATTTTATAAATTGTCTAGAACTAGAGTACTTTGCATTTAATTTTAAGAAATAAAGTTTTGGTCTACAGTTAGAAAAAAAGTAAAAAAATGTGTTTTATTTACACCTTCAATATTTATAATTGAAGAAATTGAAAAAGTATCATACGTAATTGTTTGATCTCAGCAGTGCATCGCAAATCTATAATAAGTAATGCTTGCAACTCGGTTCGCTAAATAAACGTTTTTAACTCCGAGAGGATTATTACAGTTGACCAAAAGGTTTTAAAAAGTAAAATAACTGTCTATCGTTTGATTCAAATTTCAACCAATATTTTATTTACACTGCTGTTTATAAACAGTAAACAGCTAGACTTTATAAGTTTTATGCTTTCGATGGCTTATTCAGTCATATGAGACAAAAAAAACTCAAAAATTAAAAAAAAAAATTTAATATAGTCTAACTGTCCACAATGTTTTCAAAAGCTTCTCGAAAGAAATTCTGGTAATTTTAAAAATTTTTACTGAACAAAATTAGTCAACGTTTTGACATTTACATAAGTTTCTCTTAAACATTTAAAATTTACAAGTTTGCTACCGCCAAAGATAAGTTAGCCACTAATACGTCTAAAAAACCAACTAATTTTGTCAGCAGTACAATAATGAGTAAAAAACTTGCTAAAATAATATTTTATAAAAAACTTTTGTTAATGCTGTTTCTAATATTTTGAAGCACCTCATTACCCGCTTGATACTAAAAACAAGAAGTATTTAAATTTTTTAAAGTTTGCTTAAAACAGCGCAAAACTCAAAAGGCAATTCAGGCATTCAAAACTAGTTTAAGCAAAATAAACTAGCAACGCCTTATCGTTTAAAAATTTATTTAATTCAAACTTTCACTTGAATGGCGATAAAACAAGGCTATATGTATAGCACATTCAAAGTACAAGATTTTAGTGAAACATTTAAAAAAAAAAAAAACAACCTTTATAAAACCGTTTCTTTAACACAACCTCTCTTTGTCAAACCGCCTTTAAAATTACTCAAAAAATTTTTGTCTTTTGATTGCTCAAGTTCCGTATTCAATCCTGCCTTTTTGATCACTTCGTTCCGATGTAACACATAGTATAGCCCACTGCAAGTCCATAAAGAATAGATGATACTTAAAAAAAGCCACCAACTTGAGGGGTTATTTTGCCAGATATTGTCGAAATAAGAGAAACAGGAAACTGAAAATTCAGAGTGAAAAAATTTGACATTTAAATGTGCAAGAAAATAAACTTTATAAAACCTGTAACAATTTGTTGTCTTCAGTCCTTAGCAGTTTATTCTCAAATCTTTTACCGACCTTGAAACAGCAAAATATTTGAAAAACTAGCCGACCATAACAAATATAGACATAAAAAAGCTTGTTCTGAGAAGAAGGTGCATAAGAAGTGAAATAGAAAATTCGAACCGATCAGTAAAATTTCTGCAAATTCTAAACTGTATGCCCAAAGGTACAACTTGAAGGTCTCTTCTTTTGTCAAACTGAGCGGCGAAAAAAGATGAATCACAGCGCAAATAAGTACCAGTTTAAAGCGATCTGTTACTCTTGTCACACCTGCATCTATTGAATTCCACTAAAAAGTAAAATGCGATTTTTGTCCTGATTCTAACTGGTAAAAAAAAGTATAATAAATTGTTGAGGATATGATGTAAGTAAAGTCATGACAAACCTGAACTGTCATAATGATTAATATGGACAGGCAATAGTGAATACCGAGCAAAAAAAATATCCAGCAGTTGAAGGCGACTGCGAACATGACCAAAAACAAATACCGTAGAAAGAGAGCAACAAAACGGAACGGGAACTGAAAAACAGAAATTCAAAACAGTTACAAATGTAATAGTGTTTTCTGAAAACGCAGTAAACAGTTGTCAAGACAAAATTTAATATTTTAAACAAAAATCACCTCTCTGCACTTTTCAGCTAATGTCATTTCGGCTTTATATTCCGGATCGAAGCGAACATTTCCACGCTGGACGGTTACTGACCAAGAAAACAATCCCAGAAAGTAAATGATTGATAAGAGATCAATATAACCTGAAAAGAAATCAAATTAACCGACAAATTTAGAAGTCCAATTGTACGTGCATTCAAAAGTTCAGATTAGAAATGTCTTCTGAAAAAACAGATATTTATATTCAGAATAATGCAAACAGTTTGCAAAAAAATATACCAAATAATGACAGTTTCTGATCATTAAGATTCCAAGAAACTCTTAGGAAAACATATCCTTTAAAAAGGGTTTGAGGCATCGACTCAAAATAGGCTTCATAAAGTCTGTAAGAGAAATTGTAAAGCCAACGTCATTTTATACTGCAAAAATCCGTATTGAGCATTCAAACTAATTGCCGCAAAAGGTTTTTGAAAATGAATTGAAAGCAGTAAGAGACAAATAAAGCAAAACCAATTTTAAAATTGGAGAAAGATTGTATGAAAAAATAGAAAAGAAACTTTAAACGAGAAGCGATAGAACTGGACGTCATGAAATTACGATAATATTTATCTTTCTGTATTTCAACAGTACATTTCCGAAAGCAGAATCCGGCGTATAACGCGCTCAGAAAGAATCTCAGCGGCCCCAACTAAAAAAATGAACTACCTTCAATAAAAAACGCCTCAAAAAACTTTTTGTAATTTATAAAAAAGTGAAACTACATTTAAACACCCATGTTTTCTTTGCTCCTTTAGATGCGTTAACAGTACCAGGGTGAAAAACTGACCTGGAAAAAGTGTAAAAACGCTCCGGCTCCAATTGAAACCTTCAAAAAACAGCTTGAATTTCCACTCTGAGAAGCGTGCTCAATGCTCTTCTGCCACCGAAAGAACGATTTAAAATTTAAAATAATTGTTGGCAGAATAGCCAACGCAAGGACGAGAACAAAACTGAGATCCTATAAATTGTTTAGTTGATTTAGGTGCCGCAAGATGAGACGAAATTCAACAAAATTCTTTCAAAATTAAGTCGTAGCTAGGAACGCGCTTGAAAAGAACTAACTGGGCTAGAGATATAATAAAGCCAGGCAGCCCTGAGATCGGTGACAACATCAATGATGTACATTGTTGAGGAAATTATAAGCAAGAAGAGGTTGATCAGTGTGACCTCCTATGTTAAAATATTTATACAAAAAGAACAAAAAATTGCTTCAGTTTCTATCTCTAAGAAAATGGTGATTTTGAAAAGCAGCATTTGTAAGTTAAGAAATTAACACCAATTGAGTGGAATCACATTGTATGAAAACCCCCTTTTTGAAAAATTTTAGTAAATTTTGCAGAATTTTTAACATCTTTTAAGGTAAATATTTTTTACTTTTGTTAAGAAAAGCCAACCTTTTTGACTTCTCTAGATTTCCAAAGACTAACTAAATGAAAACCAGCCATAGACATTATACCAATTGCGAAACTCGCAATCCCGACACAGAATGCAGGAAAATACACAAGAGTGTTATATAAGCCTCGATGAAAAACAAAAATAAAAAAAATCTAAAATTTAAGATTAAAGAGTGCTAGTAAAAGATTGTTTGAAAGAAACGTAACAGTTTTTGGTTTTTAGCCCAAAAAAATTTAAAATGTTGCACTTTGTTTTCTTAAATAATTAGAGAGTTTTGTTTGTATAAAGAGTTATTGACTTGAATTAGCAACCATAAGTTCTCCTGCTTCTAGAATATGAGCAAATAAGTACGACCATAACATTTTTTCATCCGTCATGTTAAATGGTGCAAAAATATGAAATGCAGCATAAAGCATCGCCATTATTACGTGGTACCCCACTGCTCTTTCATTTTTACGTATTGCGTTCCACTGGAAAGTCACATGTGGTTGAGAAATTTTTTTAGCTTTTAATATTCAGTTTTTTTAATAGAAATGTTACTTAAAGAATACAACAGAAAGCCAGTGCAAATAAAGCAAACCTGGAAAGCAAAAATATGGACTACTGACAAGAAATAATGGACAAATACAGCAGCCATTACCCACCACCAGTCCACAGCCACTGCGAACATAACCAGAAGCGTGAACCGTGATAAAACAGTGCAGAAACGCCACAGAAACTAAAAGCAGTAAATGAAAAAATCAACCATAATATTGTTTTTGAGAATTTATACAGGCATTAATGTCTTTATAATCTTACACTTACATAGGAAGAATTAGCATTTTAAGCAACAAAACACCTGAAGAAAAGTTTTTTGAACAGCAATAAGCAATTCATTTTCCTGAGAAACGTGCTGCTTCGTATAATGAGGTATTATTAACGACCAGGAGAACGATAGCAAAGAAAAAATAACCAATATACATTGACGAGAAACTATAAATATTCTTTATACAGTCTTCAACTGAAAAATTCAAAAGTGAACCTGGTAAAAGCCTTAAAATTTTCAAGACTTGAACAGAATCTTTGCTTTCGGGAAGATATTAATAATGTAGTTGGCAAAAAAAGACTAAATAATCATACCTATCCCCTCTATAAAGTTTTTAGGATTGTAATCATATCGCAGAAAGATATATCCCTGCAGAAGAGCTTGAGGCATTGATTTAAAAAATGCATCAAGACTTCTATAAAAGAAATTTAAGAATAAGTTGTCTTTTGTTCACAGAAATTGAAGAATTTCGAGGATAGCAAGAAATTATTAAGCATCAAAGTGAATCTTAATAAACAACCTAATAACAATTGCTTTACGAGGTTTCGGCCACACGTAGAGCTAAAAACATAGACATTAAGCGAATAATCAAAACGTTCAATATTTTTGATACTTTATCAGAGGTGATACTACTTTTTCATGACATCAGTACTTATTTCGGTCTTAAATTTTTTTCAAAGTTACTTGGTAAACAGCTAACTTCTAGAAAGCATAAAATTGCTAAGCCAACAGTCTGGATCACTAGAGAGCGATGTGAGAACGCATTTACGGCAGTATCTTCAATAAGGCCGATAAGCAAGATTAGTGGTAACAGAACTGTTGGTATAATAAAAATGAGGGCAGTAGCAGCAAGAAGAAGAAACTGTAATTTAAATATTCAAACTGAAGCTAAAACAGCATTTACAAAATGCTTTCAAGTCAAAGAAACGGCTTACATAGAAGTGGTTAAAGAAAACTTACTCGTTTATAGTAATAATATTCGTAAACGAGAGCGAAGACAAGTACACCATTCCAACAATCTAAGAAGAGACGAAAAAGGTAGTGGAACTTCTCAATTTGTATATCCTTAAATAATAAAACATTAAGGCAAAAGCCAGAGTAAGACATTCCGTTCGCAGTTGTTATAAAGGTGGGAATGCTCATCTATAGCGCACCAAAACTTTTCATAGCTTGCTTAAATTTAGTAAAAGTTATATAAAACAGTCAGAAGTCAACTGTGACTAAAGCTTCCCCCTCTGAGTTGTTTGATTCTGCTAACTTTTTCATCCAGAGTCTTTAACATTGTTTCAAAACAGCGCATTCAAATCTATTTTTTTGCAGTGAGCAATATTTGAACAAAACGTTTATTTTAGTAACTAAAAGCTGAACAAAGAGGTAAATTATTTTTAAAGACAAAGTTATAAAACTGTTTAAAGAGCGTTTTGCCAAAGATTATATTCATGAAAATGCAAAAAATAGTCATTATTTAAGCAATATGTTTTCTTAGTCTCAAAATTTATGATTTAAAAAGCAGTTTTACTGATATTGTTTGTCTCAGTCACTTTTTCTGTTGGAAAAAAATTCATGTACTTTATAAATTTTTTTTTATGCTGTATAAGGAATAACGTTTTCGCTTCATGTTTTTATAGAATTTTCTCTCGGTGGCAGACTAATATCACGAGTGAGCGATTTTATCTGTTCGAATCTTGAGAAGTTGAAAAAATTGTTGCAGAATTTTTCGACTTACAAATTTAGTGTTTTTCAACCAATTTCGTAGAAATGCAGAAAAATTCAAATTTTTTTACACTGAACTTATGCAAACGGAGTAGACCAAAATTGCCGTCAGAAAACTTCTGTTGCATTGGTTCCTATACTTTATTCTACCCGAAATTCTGCAGCAAAAAATTTCAAAAATGCTCTTCAGCAAAGACTTCTAGTGTTGATTGGGGAGCTCGTGAATGTAATCGCTTGTTCGCGACCTATCTGTAATTACCTTAACAGCGATTTTGAGAAACTAATCTGTTGAGCTAATTAACCTAACGTTTTGCTGCTATAAACGCAAAGTAATCTTGCAAGCAGAAAAACGAAACTACCTTGTCTGATTCATCGCTGTTCAAGTGCTGTTCTATCGAAAATTTCTTTCCAGTATTATCCACCTTACTGACCTCGACTTGTTTCTCTGCCTGGTAAAGAATTAAGCTAGCATTACTCTGTTTTTACATCTATAATTATTTTGTACCATACAGTCATTTTTAAGAAACTCGTGCGACACTGTGCTGTAACTGCTGTGTTATGCTAAGCTATGTTCTTTTATCAATCAAGATAAATTGTGCTAGACGTATGATTCAGTTTGCTAACATAGTCATATTTTTATTTCTCTTTTATTATTCCTCTATCAAGTTAGTTAGGCTGACAGGCTCTTTATAAGTTTCTGTAATTTAGTTGGCGTGTGTAAGCTTTAACTATGTTAGGTCAAAAAAAAGATTGAGAACTTAGAAAGAAATAGAAAGCCAGTAAACCAAAAATGGATAAACTGATTTAACTGGTTCTTTCTTAAGTTAATGCACCTGCTTACGATAGCGTTTATACTCCTTAGGGAGAGCAGTTTTTAGACTAAACGCCTAGTAAGCTGAATTTCAGCCGCAATAGAATAAATGATAGGAATACATGCTATACTTCCACAGTCAGATTTACAGCTCAAAGACAGGGTTTAGCATTTTGCATGCAACCAGTCAACTATTCTTTTGCAGACTATAGTAGAAGAGCTAGCTGCGTAAAATTTATTTAATAGAAAATTATCTTGTTTAACAAATAAAAAACTTCTACGCTGCTCAAAAAATTGCATCTTTCACCTAGTGTGCCAGTAATAAACTAGCGTTTTTGAAGACTCTGTCGCGAAAGCACGTGAAAGGCATTATCACATTATGACGGTGATGGTCACCGATCTATTCCGAGAGAGAAGCTTTCGGGAAGCAGACAGCTGGTTGCTTTGTCAGAAAGGCGTGTATCTGATTGTCAAACGAGGAAGTGAGGGTTTTTTTACTATGTTCTATTATCAGTCTGTAAATTTGGAATTCTCAACCAGCATACCTCCTACCTCTGAGATCTCAACCTTGCTGATATTCCAGAAATTCAAGTTTTTTTCTTTATTATTTCTGTCTTTTTTCATTAGACATATTTTAGTTCTGTATTTCAGGTTATTGAAAGTTTTTAAGTTTGTTTATAATGTTTTCTTTTCTAACATGACCTGTTTAAGCGCTTAAAACAGCTGTGTTGCCTAGAAAAATAGGCAAGTGCCTGCTTACCCTTTTCCTGTAGCTACTCAAAGTTTAAGGTTGATAAAAGCTATTACAATTTTAAATGTCGTATATTCCATTGAATAATTATTATTTCAACTCGCTTAGTTAGACTTGAAGTTCATATGGCTACTAGGTTGCACAGTGTCACAAATGTCGACATTTACCTAGTAGAATCAAGAGAAATTAAACATTCCTCTAGGTTAATAAATGTTGTAAGCATCGAGGCTATTGAATGCTTGTACAAAAAAGTCATAAAAATTGAGCCCTTTTGGATTTGGAGGGAAGTGATACAACGCAAACTCTGTGGTCAAAAGAAAAATGTTCGATAAATACAACGAACTCCAGCATGTTGAAACCTAATTATGCTCAACGTCCATGTGACTCTAACTTCTCAATCTTAAAAGGAAGATTACCTTTAACTTATCTTCACTTTCAAAACCTCTTTCTTCTTCCCCTGATAAATTCCTTGCTCCACTATTTTTGCTACTGTGCAGTTTGATTTCCTAAAAAATAAAGCAACGTTTCTGTAGACTTCAACGTTCCCTAAGCTTTCTTTTTTAAGTGAAGGCAGAAAAAATAGATTGCCAAAAGCGCTGTTTCTCGTAATTTAATCACAAAAAAAAATTACATGTGCTCCTCTTTGCTGATATAAGCAGGCCTTGTCATTCCTTCTTCCCCAAATGGCTGGAATATTTAGACTTATGCGAGTTCTCATAAGCTTGAATTCTGAAAATTTATAAATGGAAACATGAAACCAGGCGAAGAAAAGTGCATCAAACTCTGTTTGATTACTTTAGGTGCGCGGTGTTGAATAATAAAAACTTCTTTGTTTGTCTTCTTCCTTTCAGCAGCTCCCGAGATCAACGTATTGTAGTTGCAGTGCGTTCCTTTGTTTATGGGTTTTCTGAGCTGAAAATTGTACTACCTACCTGGGGCAAGAACGACTGTTTGTAGGAAATTGAGGAATTGCTAGAGCTTCAGGCATGTAAGGAATTACTCCGCTTAGTAAAAATATATCTGTAAAAGTGGAGAAATATTCCTGTTCTCTTTTTTTATTGATTTATATAATCTTTTATTTGTGATTCATCTATAATCACGATGCCGACAGTTAAAAAACGAAACTACTTCATGAGACTGACAAGTACGTGCAAAAAAAAAAAAAAAAAAATGCAACTGCAAAAGATAAGAAATTTTGCCTGTGAAAAAAATTTTCTTTCCAGCTGTTTCATTCTTCTGCATCAACGCTTCCTTTGGACCATAGTTACTGTTATAGAACGCATTGTACCACTTTGGGTAATGAAAAACATGTTAATTTTTCTTTTGACTCTATTCCTTTCTAACTCAGCTTGAACAAAAGTACTCCACGCTTTCATTTACTGGTTCTCTTCTAAGAAGAGTCTTTTTGAAGCAGCACTGGTACAACAGTTTCACTAGCTCTACTTTAACCTCATCTTCAGATTCCTCTGAATAGCACTCAGTGTCTTTAACAATTAATAGTCTCTCTCCTTCAATAAACTGACATTTCATGTGCAAAACTTTGACCGAGTTTGGTTTCCTCCCCAAAAAATAGAAAAAGAAAAGAAATCCGCAGAGTAGCTCAAGAAACAAACACTATAGGTTTGCACTAGATCTATCGTTTAGCGACAGTGCAAAATATGAATACCAAATGCAATTACAAGATCGAAACAAAAATTTGTTAGAGTAACTAATGTAAAATTTAAACGACTCAAATGCAAATTTTTCGTAGTTTTACGTCTCCAAATTAACTACATCAAAATTGTTAGAAAGCAAGGAGGTCTATAGTTTTATTCTTTCTGAAACGTCTCATTATTGTGCGGAGTGTGTAAGTGTTACACCGTTGAGTTATCCTCCAGAGTCCCAATTTCAGGCGGGATAACACAAGAAAATAAAGTATATCAGAAGTTCGTGGAAAAAACAAACTTTCTAAGATTAGTAACAGAAGCTTGGCGAAAGTTGAGGAAAACAACAGTAAAGATTCAAATAAAAGCTCAAACAGAAAGAACAAGAGAAACTATGACGATAAGAACGCGAGTGTATCCAGTGAGATCAAAATTACCTGAAGTCCGACCATCAAAGTTCGAGGAAAATTTAATAAAACAAAACAGTATTTTATTTCAATTAATGAAAATAGTATTTGCAAAGTGGATAAATTTCAGTATTTGGTTTCACTGTTAGAAGGAAAAGCATGACGATTGAGTATTTACCACGCTGCATTCGTTGTTTGGAAGGGCCCAGTATATAAAGGCAGTTGATACTGATCTCCAATCTCTCAACTCTTTCTACATTTGATAAACTACCTATCATAGCCAATAGGAACATCTCGGGCAACAAGCCACCTTCGTCTACTACTGCATATTGTACGAGTTTCACGCCTAAATTTTGCTCTTGGAGTTGTAATAATGTGCCCAACAGTGACACTGTACCACAAATCAACCTTGATTGCTGTATTTCCAACTCAAGGGGAAGGGAGTCGTCGTGAGGAGTCGTCTGGCCAGCTTTTAGGTTTGTATCTTTGAATAAAAATTTCAGGAGTCCTCCGGCACTAGCAGATGCACTTTTGAAAGCGTCTTATTAAGAATAATTGGTTCCAGAGGAGTGTCTTCAACAGAGAGCAGTGGGATTCCCAACGTCAAACGATAGAATCCCAATCCTCATGTGCACACCACTAGATGGGAACAGCTAAATTTGAAGCAAAGTTGGTTGAACGACCTTCATAATCAAATGGCTGTAAAGTGGTTGTAATGTTGACGAGGTTTATCACAAATGAAATTTCAGCCTCAACCGGGAGAATCGTGAGATTGGACTCCTGTAGCTGAACTTTTACTTCCTACAGTAACCTAGTTTGAGTTAATTTTGGCTTGACTTGACTTTTCTCGTTGCGGTTATTTCTCTTTTGTTAAAAGACCGTAATCACTTCTAACCTAAAGATCTCTGTTATTTTTAGCTTCTTATAGTTTAGTTTCTTTCTCTTAAGGCAAGGGAA